GAATAAAAACTTTGATCGCAATACGCAATAACGTATTGCGTTGAGTTAGTTCGACCCTATTGCATAAAAATCGAAGTTAAAAAATTTTACCAATGAGCAAACTAGATGCCTTTAAGATGTGTTGTTATGACCGCTTGCTAAAAAACCTTAGATCTACAAGGATACCAATATCGAAATTCTTAAAATAAAAATCCAAAAATACAGCTGCTTTCCTAGAACAGAGACTCAACATAATTAGATATTATATTTCATGTCAAATATCCTAATTATTAAATAACTTATTTAAGTGAAGCAATGATGCATATATAAAAATACTACATATACATAGGGCATTATACAGCATCTACTATATAAACACAGCTTAAAAAATCGTCTGTGTCATTGAGACTTATTATAAAATTGTTTATTATTTAATAAAAGCTACCACTAATAAGTAAATGTGAATAGGCACTTAAAAAAAATTAAATCACTTTTTGTAATTAAATTATTAATTTCAAGATTTTAAAATCGCTTTTTTTCAGTAGGTGAAAAATATCTACAGCCTCAGTGTAAGCCACCTCTTAAGGAAATTTGTATAAAGCTTTAAGCCGTAGATATATAAAAGCCTGCCTTCAAGCATCAATTAACATTAAAGAGGCTTAATATTTGGATTTACAAATTTATTTAAGCCAGAAATGAAAACGAAAATTACGTTAAGTAAAAGAAATGTCACAGAGAAAGATATTAGGACTGGTTAATATAATATTATTATTATTATGTGTTTTCAAAATTATTCATATTTTTTTATGAAATTTACAATATCTTTTTCTGTCACATGAGTTTAAAAGAAAATATATAAACGATGTACGACTATACTCTATTTAGTCGTCTGTTGGAGGTTTAGTAATGCATAAAAGAAGTATTAAATCATTTGAACTCTACAATGATATCCTTTTTGTACACTAGTACATACTGAAGAGAACCAATCAATTAAACCCATTTCTTGTCATCCCCATCATCCCCAAAAAAATGGAACTGTCACTTTCTCACCCAAGCAATATTTTAAGTCAAGAGAAAAGACTTATAATAATTTCAAATGTTTTGTGTGAACTAGTAACCACAAGTTGTCTAATTTTACTCACTTTAATTAATTAAATATTTTTAATTAAAAATGAATCGTTCACAAAATTTACTTTTACATTTATTCATCTATAAATTTTGCCACATATAATTTGGAGCAAGTTTGTGTCTTAAGTCTTTTGTTGGTTGATTGCATTCTCTACTGCCTAACAGTACTTATTTTTGAACTACAATATATTGCATTTCAATTTTTTATATTTGGTGTGAAACAAGAAAAAATTAATCAATTTGTTCAATGAAATCCTGTTGGCAACTGGGCTGTTCACGTATATGGTCGCTATTTAATCTATCAATTGTCAACTTAAAGCGCCCCACTTGCCATTTGCACATAGGCTGAGGCTGAGGTTGAGGCTGAGACTGAGGCACTGATTTGTGAAAGGAGAACACGCAATCTGCCAACGCCCACGAGCCGTTAGTTGCTATTATTTTAATTATAACTACTCTTAATGTTATTGATATTTTAAGATACATTTTTAAAACATTTCTATCTTTTTATGTGCGTTTAAAATTTTGCTTAAATTATTTAAAAATATTTTAAACAAATTTTATGAACGATAACTGTACTGAGTGGCATTAATTGAGTGATTATATGATTTGAGACAGTTTGACTATTGATTATGTTTTTTTTTCTAGGTAATATATTAAGCATGCACTTCATCAGTGCTACACATTCTATAAAATACACAAAAATTTAAGAAAAATTACTATACAATTTAGGAGGAGATAAAAAAGAGGGATCGTAGCTCAGTCAAGACAGATCTAGATTTTGCTACAGACTACATGACACCAATACTTGATTTCAATACCAGAATTCTCAGTCTTTATCCAACCAGAGATAGCTGTTAGTTGAGACCTGTGACTGTTAACTCTTTAGTTACCATTCACACAGATGGCTCAAAGATGGAGGGTGGTACAGTAGCAGCATACCTTTTCGTAAGATATGCAAATGTATGTCATCACCTTAAAGAGCATCTAAGATGATAACCAAGATCAGCACAGTAACCTAACATTACATATCAACAATAAATTCGTTTCCTTCACCGAAATTTTAGACTATAACATAATCCGTTAATATTTATACCAAATATGATTTCTTCCAAGTTGGCTAACATTATCTTACAACGATAATGTGTTTGGACAAAGTGTAGATGCTAAAGTTGCTATAATTAAGAGGGGAAATCTATCAATCACTTTCAATATTTTTGTCCAGGACAACAGAAGAAACAAATTTACTAAAACATTATTTCTTCATTATCAAAGATAACAAAAATGGACCTATCGGTTTTCCTTAACTTCATCAGGAAGACCAAAGAGTTCAACAAAGATAACGCACGGAATCATAATAGAGACAACGAGTAAGTTTATTCGACTTTCCTGGGTTATTTTGCGGATACCACAATGGGCTATAAATGATCTAACCTACTTCCAAATGTCATACATGACTGTCTTTAAATATTGATCAGTGTTTTGGCTGATTTAACAGTAAATAACATTTTTTATGATTATTTTTGGATCAGCAAAATTTAACAATTTTAATATATTTTATATTGAAGTTATTAATTCGCCAAAAATCGAGTTATCAGACAGCTTCAGCAACAACAAACGTTGGAAATGAAAAATTATTTTCCAATTAACGTTTGCGTGTCACATCTCACATCGCGGTCGGGTGATGTAGTCCGATTGAGTGCACTTGTGCACAACAACGAACACAAAATCATGTATTTTCAATCATAGAAATCCCCTTTGCGAAGGTGTAAAGTACAGTGGCTCAATAAGTCATTCCAAACGACACATATCAGTGCAGCAGCTCAGTGGAGCCAAAGAACAGCAATTAAAAATCGACGCACCTCTGTACCATTTTTGCTCTAATTGGCCAAAAATGTACGTCAGTGTGAAAATGAATAGATAAACAATTTTCAGTGTAAACTGTCAACAAACTGCAGCAATTATAAACGCAGTTAACTGCCAATTAAAATTGTATTTTTGCAATAATTTTGTCACTGTTCAGGTTGGCGCGTCTCTATGGATTTTCTTCTCAGATTAGCTGAATGAAATTTTATTTGAATTTTTTTTATATCAAATTTCTGACATAATTTTACATGTATTATCCAAAACGGTTATATTGCGAAACTGATTGCATTAATCCAAAAAAACTAAAAATGCAATATACTCTTACATTATATTTACGATTTTGGTACTCATTAAATGTAGAAAAAGAAAACTAACAAAATAGAAACTACATTCTCAAGAGAAAAACTAAAACGGTATTTTTTTCTTATTGTTTAAATATGATTGTGTTCACACTGCAATTTTGTCGTAATAAAAAAAAAATTTTAACTAAATTAGAACAATTTTGTACTGCCGCAAGACATTTTTTAATCAACTATCGTACACCAAAAACGGCCTCTAATTGCGATTGTCGCAATCCAAATCGGGCACGATAAAAGTTACACGGCAAATTGTCGTAAATTGAATAACGTCTCAATTACACAAGTGATTTAAAAAGAATTTAAACTCAGAATTTTTTTACACAAAAATCAAAAAGAATATACATACTTTATAGAATAAATTCACAGCTCAATCTATCAAAACATAAAAGGAAGAAGTTAAGAAAAATTACTAAAAAGTCCACCTTTTCTTTATATATTCTGTTAGAGATGTTAGATGGTTTATTAAAAAAACAATTGAACTTTATCAGATCGCTAAGAAAAAAGTGTGGTTTTTACTTTAATTAATAGCTGGACTGTCAGCTCTTTTTAGAGGAGAAGTAATGGATAGATGTGCAAGATTCCTAGTTAAAGGGTTAACATATTATGTCAGCCTTTTATTAAATTTTTCTTATATTCTCAAGAAATACAGTAAATATATATATATATATATATTCTTTAGCTTTAACTGAAGAAATTTGTTGATCTGGGTGGATGCTTTCATTCCTAATATACCATGGACATCAGATGTGTAAAGTACGTTCAAGATAAAGCCAAGAACACTTCCTTGTGGAACGCCAGTTTCTATTGGTAAATTTGTATAAATAAATGGTTTACGGCTTCGAATAGCAAAGAAAAGACAAAGACAAAAATTTTATTTAATTTATTGAAATTTGGCTGACCATACAACTGCCAAAGTTTCAATGCTCAAGTTGCAGGATTTTTTTTGTTACTTTTTTATTTAATTATTCACACTAACCAAAACACTTGTTGTGCTTTAAATTAGAACGAGCTTATAAAGTCCAACTTTATTTGGAAACACCAGTTCAACGAATTGAAAACTAACTTTAGAAGTTGCCTATTTCGGTTTCAAAGCTAACCTTTTTGTAGAGACATCTGTTATGCATATTTTTACCTACTATATATAAAGCGCTTTTTTTGGGTGCAATTTTAAAAGAAGCTGTGCAAATGTTTCTCTACAAGTTCGCTAATCGGGATTAGGAAAAATTGAACAATATTATTGTTCATATTTTCTAGAATTCTAACTTTTAATGTTAATTTTTTCTTGCTGAAAGTGACGCGTCTTTATGGCGAAAAGAAACTTTTTAAAGTTAGACGTATTTGAATAGCAAAGTAAAGACAAAGACATGTAAATGATTTACATTTGACTTTAAAACATCTGTTCTGTAGATACAATTCGAAAACTAAGTGGGCGTCGGCAGGTCATAATAATAATTGGTTCATGGTAATATTGTTACTCTTATAAAATATCTAGAATATTATAAATTATTCTCGAATGTTATGCATTTCGCCCGAGATATAGCAATCGAAAATAAAAATTGCACTAAAGGTGAATTTCGATTAAAAATGTTACTCCTGATTTACTAATCGAAAACGATATAAATATCACAAACATGACTGAGTGCTTTATCTAGTCATAGTAGTCAATTGACATTGTTGTCAGTTGTAAATGTCATAAATTTAATGCGCCAAACTGTCAGTGTAAATTGTCAAAAATATTTGCGTTGTTTGTTTTCCAGTAAAAAAAATAAATATTTCACAATATTTTATGGCAAAGATGCAAGCGTCTTTTGCAAAAACTAAAGAAAACGTACCTCCAGATGTGGGATTAGATACGACTACAGATAACCAAACGAAGATGGAAGTCAGTACAAATTCTAGTCCGTTAAAAATAAGAACGACGAAGTACAAAAGATTTTCTGTGCAGAAAAACGTAAAGGAAAGAGATATAGCTGGTGCAGCACAAATGGTAAATTTTGCTAAACCACCAGTACGTATTACACGTTCCAGATCACTACTCAGTAGTTCTCAAAAGTCTGAGCAGAATAATACTAGTTCCAATTATGATGATGTGCCAAAACAATATAAAACACGAAAACTGTTTGATTTACATAACGAAACACAACTTAAGGAGCAACCTGAAATAAAAAAACGAGATAGAACAAAATCTCTGGACATAGCAAAAAACACTGGACAAAGTAGTAATAAAACAGAAATGTTGTTTCCTCCTCTGAAGAAGAAAAATATCAGTTCTTCAACACTGAACCAAAATACTGATAATATGGGTGATATTAACATATCAAAAGTACAAAAGATTCAACAAACCAAATCACAAGAAGTTGCCACTTGTAATATTGGTGTTCCTTTACTCCAAGAAGCTATTGATTTGATAATCGGAAATATAAACACAGAGACTGGAAACAAAAGAGGTAAGAAGAAAGAAATACAATATGATAACCCAGCACTAGAAACTTTTGTTTTGAAAACCGAAGAAGTAAACACAGTGACTGGAAAGAAAAGAGGTAGACCGAAACAAATACAATCTGACAACCCAACACTAGAAACAATTGATTTGAAAACCGGAGAAGTAAACACAGTGATTGAAAAGAAACGAGGTAGACCGAAAAAAATACAATCTGATAACCCAGCACTAAATACATATCAAAGTGATTGTTATGCTATTTCAATGCAAAAAGAACATCAAGATTCTGAAAAATTGCAGAATATAAATATTCGTGAAAAGAATGTGGTAAATACATCTACGAAAGAACAGGTAACTTCTGCTGAATTTAAAAGAGTACTTAGACCCAGAGGAATTAATGAAACTAAAGCTGAAGTCGTAACTACATCTAATAGAAGCGGAAAATATGGTAGGAGAATACATAATAAAATAAATAACTTAGAAACCTCTTCTGAAAATAAAAATACTAAATTTGGACAAACTTCAGCAACTAACACTTGTGAAGCACTGAGTAGCAGAGAAGTGAATAAAAAGCAAATAACAGATCTAACTACAAATAAGTGCATTGAAAAAATTCAGATCAAAACAAATTTACAAGACCACAATCAAAATTATGAAAGTTTTGATACTACTTCTATAAAACAGGAAGTATTAAGTACACAAAAGTATGCCAATAATCTTTTCTCACAAAAACAAGAAAACACTTTGGATATAAAACAACAAAATTTAATCGATTCTATTAATGAAACTTATGAGGAGAACTTAAAAACCTTGCTCTCTAATTTATCTTTAGATATTGTGAATAGATTGCATTTAAAATTTCCTTTATATTGCATCGAAAACTTTCCCTTCTGTGTACACAATCATTACAATAAAGAACTTCCTGAGATTGATTTTGACGGCATTAAGTGCGCTCTTCAAAACAACTGCTATAAAACAGCACTTTTTATTTTATGGGATGTATGCAAGCACAATGTTTTTCCTGGAGAACAAAATCTTAAAAAAATAATTGATTTGATATTAGTAAGTATGAGTACACTTTTTTAAAGTATACATAATTTATGCTAATAAATTTATTCACAGTCATTAAATCCGAGAGATACTGAAACAGAGTGTTTAATTGAAGTTTGTGCTGAATGCTTTGATATATTTAAATATATTGTGCGCACATTTCCACCTTGCTATGTGGCCCTACGTGAACGCTATAGAAAGTTTATTAATTTATCAATTGATGTAAATCTACTTACACCCGAACGACCAATACTTACCAAATCAAATGATATGATTAACCAACTCCTTGATCTATTGAAATATACAATGGAACAATGTTCTAGTGAAGACTTAAGCGCTGAGGCTTATGTTTACACTCCTCTAAACGATTTGTGTGACGATTCGTTCAGTGAGTTCAAACCAGATTGGTTGTATGAGGAAGTAAAAGCCAAATATCAAACATTCATGTATATGGAAACTGGTTTACAATTGGAGCGTATATTTATGGTATTAAATTTAATTTTATCTATACTAGAACACGATTTAGCTATGTGGTTTGTGCACAACTATAAAACCCCCGGTTATTTAATGTTCTATGAAAAAATACGGCCTTTAATTGTAGAAGCTTTTAAATTGCAAAAATGTCATTATTCAACAAGTACTTCAGCCTATTTTATAGAAATTTTTATTAATGCTATAAATAAAGGTTTGCATCACGAACGATTAGAAATTCTTGAAGTAAGTCAAGTTTTGTAGTTTATTTTTGTGATATTCAAATTCTTAATGTGTAATATTTTTAGCGTTACCTGGGATTGTTAATGGTGGCCTGCAACTCCGCTGAGATCGAAGTTATAGGCGATGATATTAAATATCCCAACGTTGGAAATACAACCAAACATTTCATTAAATATTTTTTTATCAAAGTTAAAGGTAAACATAGTTAATATATGTAAGAAAGTGATAATTTGTTAGTAGATTTCTTAAAAATATCCTTATGACTAATGTTTGCGTAATGTAGACATAAGTACATTTTTCTAAAATCGTATAAGCAGCACTGTTATATCAATACAATCAATTATTTTTAACTCTTTTTTTTTAATAGTTATGTAAAAAATTTTTTACAATATCAAAATTCAGAACAAAGAAGAAGACCAATTCTTTATTGTTTGCACTAGAACTTCAAATAAAATTTGTGCTATTCGAAAGCGTCGAATATTTGAGTGCATGTTTGTGTGCAAACATCATATAGAGCTCGAGCATTTACTGTTTAAAATCTATGAAGTAATCATTGTCTATAGAGAACGCTTTATACTCTTAGTTCTTAAAGAATCTCTATTGAAATATACTAGATTTGTACAAAATTAACATAATAGGATTTAGTTATTAACGACAGTTATAGTTATAAGTCAAGAAAAAGTCTGTTCTTCATTAACATATAAGAGCAGAATAGTAGAATATGACAAAATATAGTTTCTCGGGTTTAGTTGTATAAACTGATTCATACGATCTATACATAATATTGTTATTTTAAGTATTTTATGTATGTTATATTATACATTCTTTATATATATGAATTAATAGTGTATAGTGCATTATAGTATTCTTACCAATACAATAATTTAAAGCCTAATGTTTGCTTGTAAGAACTAAAAAAAGCGCAATCGAATACCTGAGACACTATAATAGTATTTCTAAAATATAATAATTCTTTTCATTATTCTTTTAAAATTTATAATGATGAAATAATTAAATACATATATATATTTACAGGTGCTCCTGGTACAACAATATCAACATTCCTAACAATAATCAAAGTTTTACAAATTCCATTTTTTCGCTATGAATTCATTGATTTGTTTTTATCTGAATATTGTCCACGTTATAACGCATTTAAATTTGACAATTTACTAACGAAAATATATTCTGCTTTGACATCTAACATTTGGGAACAACATCAGCGCAAAACTCAATTATCTGGTGATGATTTGAAAAAAATTTTGAGTTCTGATGATATACTTTATCTACTCCTATTATTATTTAAGTCGTATAATGAATTTTATGGACTGGAAAGTTTTATGGAAGTGCTAGTCACAGACAAAGTGGAATGTATTGCAACAAATAACACACAATATATAAGTATGGAAAAGTATGATTTAGAAAGTATGGAACAAAATATTGATGATCTCGTTCAGAACTTTAATGACGCACAACCGCTTAATTTAAACAAACTTAAGTTATCTGCAAATATTTATGTGGATGAAGAAATAAGATCTGGTTATTATAATAAAATGAAAACTATTGCACATATTAAGGAAAACGTAAATATTTTGTTTGATTCAAACTTAAAAAACTTTGACATAACTGATTGGGCAGAATATTTGCAAAAGTTTAATTTTCCTATATGAAATAATTATATTTAATACAGATTATTTTTGTTTTTTTTTTGCATATTTTTCTTTTATTTTCATATTTATATTTTTTTTCGGATATTTTTCCTTTTTTTTTGTTATATACATATACATATAATATGTTAAAATAAAATAATATAAACCAAAGCAGTAATTACAATAATTTTATGTTAAACACTATTTATGTTAACAGTATTAGTTAAAAATATATTTTTAATTAAAAAAATAAAAAAATTTTGAAAAAGTTTTTTTACAAATGTAAATATAAAAATGAAAAGTTTTCGTAGTTTATAGTTTTGAAAGTTTATGACTTTGAAGTATATATAAATAATTTTTCAATTAACTTCGATTTTCTAGTTCTTTTCTTTTCAAATCCACATTTTTTTTAATTTATATAATCTATGTCAGTTTTGATTCATATTTTATATACTCTCAATTATGATTTCCTACTTTAGTTTGCAGTGCAAATTTTAAATTAATTTAAAAAAAAATTATAATTAAAATATAAAACTTATTATTATTATTTAACTTATATTTTCTAAATAAAATCTTGATTCTAAAATTGTAAATTCGTTTTGTCTTTAAGTTCAGAGACTTGTATTTGCATTGTAGGTGATAGGATACAAATAAAAGTCAAATTTTTGTGGTATATATTCCTAAAGATGCTTGCAAAAATCAATAAAACATTGGATTAAAATCAATCAAATCACAAATTCAATTTTTTTTGTGTTTCAAAGGGATGTATTTATTGCTTAATTACATCTCATCCATCCATTAATCTTCTCCTCTCCTTTCACAAAAGTTTTACCCATCTACATCTTTACCCATGTATTTACATGGCAAAAACTCCTTTCATGTTATCTGCTTTATTAATGCCTGCGGACAACAACGACGGGATATATTTTACGATGTTCAATCGATGCGGTCCGTACATAATGCCATGTTCATTTTTTTATTTATATATATATATTCTTTATGAACATAACTTGGTGCTGCCTAGTATATTATTGTAGTATTGTTATCAATACATTTATTTTAAGTCTAATGATCGATTGTGAAAACTGAAGATAGCAAACTGGAGACCACCTAAATCAGAGAATTTAGATGGATTTCTTATCAATATTTTTAACAATACATAATCTTGAAATAATTATAATTTCACAGGAACTGGTACAAAAATTTCAATATTCCTAACAATAATCAAACTTCAGCGGAGTCCATTCTTTCGCTATAAATTATAATTTGTTTTAAATAGAATATTGTCTGTATTATAACTCAAACCATTTTGACAACATTCTAATATTAAAATAGAATATCTTGCACATATAAAGTAAATAAATAGTTTGATTTAAACTTGACAAGTTTTTTTACTACTGATTGGACAGATGAAAGAACGAAAGAGAAATTAATCCTTCTCAATATATATAAACTAAGAAAGCCATTTTAATTCCACATCCCTTGTACTAGTCAGTAGAAGAGTGAACATATTAGAACCTGTCATATGAATTGCTAAAAGAAAGTATCTGGCCAATACTAATGTTTAAAATACCACGAGTATCTTAAAGAATAGCTTAAACCTGTTTCTATACAAACATGAACATAGACACAACAGATACTCTGGTGTCTTTTTTCGAGCGCAGGTAGACATATATCGTCCTTTAGCCGAGTGTCGCGTTAGAACAGATATTATACTAGATACTAATTTACTTCTGTGTACCAAGTCGTAGAATTTACATTTGTAGTGAAGACGCCATGTAGCTCTCGACCTGGCTACTGAAGAAGTATGAGGTCACTTCCTATTTGTCTGTTGCAAAAAATGGCCATAAAACCACTTTCGTTTGTGGCTGACAGGAAGAGAAGGGATTGAAACGGGAGGTTTCATAAAACAGACACCTAGTCTAGTTAGTTCATCTACGCAATCGTTTCTTACTCTGTGGAAAAGTCAGAGAATTCAAACTGGACTCACTTTGGAGCTGCTGCTTAGTACCTTATACTTTGTTTACATTCTTAAACTATCGTAAACAATTATTTACGACTATTAATGAGAATATAGATTTTTTTTTCTAAAAGTCCATGTCCGCTGTAAGAGAACAGGCCATCAGGATGGCGATAATTTCTGCCTGAAATATTGAGGTTGAGTAGCAAAAATAGTTGGATCTGCTTGACCAACTATCTTTGCTAGATTCGGAGAATATATTTGAACTCCCATGCCTTTATCTCGTCTTTGACTGCTTAGGCAGAATATATTTAATTTTGAAATAGCTATATTTAAAAAAAAAATTTTTTCTTTTTTTTCGTATACGTTTTTTTTATTGTACACATATATAATATGTTTTAAAAAAATAATATTAACCAAAGCAGCAATTACAATAGTTTTATGTTAAACAATTAAAGTACTAATTAGAAATATATTATTTTTAATAAAAAAAAATATACAAAATTCGAAACACTTTTTTACAAATGTAAAAACAAAAATGTGAATGTAAAAATTAAGATTTTTCTTATATTATAATTTTAAAAGTTATATAAATATTGTTTACTTAATTTCGGTTTTTACGTTCTTCTTAAACCCATAATTTTTTTTAATAGATATATAAAAATAATAAAAAATATCAAATGAAATTTAAATTAGACATAATATTTTTATACATAAATTCGTTCAAAAAACTATATACAATTTAGGTTAATGTTATATATACTCTCAATTATGATTTCCTACTTTAGTTTGCAGTGCGAATTTTAAATTAATTTAACAAAAAATTTTATAATTAAAATATATAAGTTTATATTATTCTTTAAATTATATTTTATAAATTAAATCTTTATTTTTAAATCATAATTTTTAATCTTATAAATAAAATATGTAATTGTGTTTTACAGCTCATTGCATTTTTAAAGAAAATATCATAATCACATTAATATATAATATATTTGAAAAATTTATAAAATAATAGAATTATAATTTCATTATTTATTTATTTAATTGTGAGTTAACACTAAATTTAATTTTAAAGTTAACTGAAAATAAGAAACTGAACTACTATGTCCTTCGCCCTGAATTTTTATTAATTATATATTACTATATATACCCAAATTTTGTTATATTTTAAAAATGTATAAAATTATAGAATTATTAAGTCATTATAAAATAATAGAAATATTAAGTTATTAATAACGAATGCTGTATTCAATCACAATTTCGGAAAGGAATAAAAATCACTTTAATATATTTTTTTGAAGTATGTTTACATAACATATTGATAAATCATTTTAATATATTTTTGGAATAATTTCATAATAATATAAAAATATAACATATTTAATTAATATTGATTGCTGTATATATCTGTACTGCACTGCATATATTCTAAAGCAGTTAATCTTATATATATTATTTTTAATTTTTTTCACTGTTAGTAACATTTAAAATACATACACATATATTTAACATGTTAGTTTATAATATTTTTTATAATTATATACTTAAATACTAAGCTTTCACATTTAATTGCATCATCTAAAATATAAATATCATTATATTTAAATTGTTTCTATCTTTTATTAACAATTTTATTTTGCTCTTATCTAAGTGGCTGTAACTCTTCTTGTTGGCTTAGATATTTTTTTTAAAACTTATTTATTTTTAAATTAAATTTTATAATTTTATATACTACATATTCAGAGCAAATAAGTAGCTCATATACTTTTGAAGTATGATATTTCTTTCTTGTGTATCTTTCTTATATATATAAATTTTTACATACACCGTATTGTATTTCAGAATCGATTTTTTATATTTAACTTTTTTATATTTATAACATATACATTATTCTTTAGATTTGATATATTTATATATAATTATATATCAATATTTAATTGGTTTATTTTTTTTTTTTATTGTGTTGATAAATAGGAGCATCTACTATTGTGATTTTCGCATTTAAAATAAAATGTTCAAAAATATTTAAATACATAGTTAGAATTTTTAATATGATATTAAAGCAAAAAATCATCTAAAAAATGAAAAAGATATAAATAATATAATAATCATAATTTTGTAGTCAAACAATACTACTTAAGTCAAAAATTAAGAAACAATTCGTTTTTATAATTTTTGTTAAAAATATATAATTAAAAAAAATAAATAAAATTAATTTAGGTACTTTTAAAAAATAATATATATAAAAATTATTTAATCTAAATATTGTTTTAAAAACAATTATTATGAATTATGTTTACTCTCATTATTTACTTAATAAATCTATTGACACATATTTATTTATTTTATTTTTTTGGTTAAAATTACATAGTAACTTATATATTTTTTACTACAAAATAAAATACTTCGTTTATTAACACACACATAATTTACAACTACTGTTATATGTCTATTATTATTATTTTATACCTTTTATATTTTTTATGCTTTTCTTTTATATAATATAATTCACATTTATAAGTATATTTAATATAATAACTTATGCCTAATCTCACTACATTGTTTTGATGTTATATTAAAAGCTAAAAAAATATACATATGCATTTATCAAAAATGCAAATATTTATTATTATACATATTAAAAATTTTATAGCCCTGTATTTTATAAATATATATGCATTAAGAAAAAAATAATATCAAAAATTAAATGTTTATAAAGTTTTCTTAATCCTATGTTCACAACGGATTTTGAAAAAATATAACTTAAAATTAAACTTTATATTAAATTCAATTTAAATTAAGAAATCTATGTTAATAAAAAAAATTCAAACTTATTTTTTAAATTATAAAAAACCACATTAAATAATACTTTATTAAAAATTTTACTTTAAACTTAAATTACATTTACTTGAAGGAATTTAATATAAAACAAAAATGATATATTAAAAATAAATTTATTTTAAATTAGAATATTTTTTATATTCAATATATTATATATAAAATATTTTACTTTAAACTTAAATCATGTTTATTTGAAGGAATTTAATATAAAACAAAAATTAAATATTATTTATGT